TGAAAGTGTAAATAAAGGAAAGGGAAAACCCGCAGCTCTCCTTTCACTCAGATAAACAGTACAAGTCGTGTTAAATTTATTTACATAACTAAACAAAATGATTATAGAATTAAACCTTTAAGAATTGAATGCTCATATGAAACATTTTCCACCTTAAATACACACGTGTTTTTCAGAAGGGAATTTAGTCGAACTTTTTTCACGATGGAATTTTGTTTTGAGTCGTTTCGACATAAACAGTCGCTATGAGACATTACACGAAAAACCCCAGTCGCCGTTCTAGCTCTCGTTGTAAGGTCAAAGCTAGTAAATGTGTAACTGGCCTGTTACATAACATCAAATCGTCGAGCGCGCTTGCGGCTTATTGCCGAAAATGCGGCAAAGAATGAACTACGACCGTTGTTTGTACCAAAAAAATTAAACGCTTTAACTCTATTGGAATACGTGGACCTAAGMTGCTCTAGCTCTTCCAGTGATGTTGTAGATACCTCAAAGCTTAGAGGAAACAAGAGCTAAGAAAACGTGATTTGTAATGGTTCCTCCTAAGATACTTTTGACTTGAACGTCGCTTCAACGACCTTCTGAAGTCTTCGTRAAGTCGGTCATTGCTTCGCATGCAATGGAGAACCCGCGTAGAACACAGAACATTTTTTTCTATCAAGGAGGGGGGTCTCGTGGTATCAAAGAAAAAGTTATTTGTTTTTTCATTTTTAAGATAAAATTCTCTTTCTATAACGATGAATATTTGATTGACATTTAACAGCTATTTTATAAAGATTTTCAATTTCTCTTTGTGTTTTAGCTTCGATTTTTCGGATAGAATAAAATGACAGGCAGCCTACTCCACTGGGTCGAGTTTTGCTGTGCAAATTCCTCCCGTCGGAGGGTTATGTTTACAACATAAGCTTGTCAGCTTTGCGCTGATTGGCTAGTCGCATTTTCTCAAATCACCCAGCTGTTTAAGACACTAAAAAATAAAAATCCATACCCTGTTCAAGACAAATCGGAAAAATAAGGAATAGCTATCTACGCCGCAACCATCAAAATTGCAAATATACTGACATCCATCAAAGACAATAAGAAGTTTTTGATAACACTTTAATTCTGGAACAGTGAAACGGTATTTCTACTATTTCTACGGTGTTATGAAAATATTACCCTGTCCAAGACACACAAAAGAATTATCTAAATTGTAGAGCCTGTTTAAGACAATTTCGGGTAAAATGTATACCCTGTTTAAGACAGCAAGGCCAAAAACCATACCCTGGCCAGCGGCACGTCCCCGTATAGCAAA